CCCAGGAGACGAGATCCCTACAGACGCGGGTAGTGACTGCGGAAGCGACCGAGTTAGCCGTTCTAGCGTCTTCCCGAGAGATTGGATGAGGAGGTGTAAATTACAGTAGGAGAGGTAGTGGCGGTAGTGATGCTCCACGCCCTGGAAGAGAGGATCGACGAGGGTCCAGGGTGCCGACTGGGTCTCGGTGCCGGCGGGCCGGACGGCAGAGACGACGAGCGCAGTGGAGTCGTTTTCGGCAGATTCGGCAGAGGCCGGAGGGTCCTGGGGCTGGAGGCCCGAAGCGGAAGAAGCGGGGGAAGAAGAGGCTGAGGGCTTGAGCTCAAAGGTGGAAGTCCGCGAGGTCGGGACCAAGACGGTGGTGGTATCGGCCGAGAAGGTGATGGAGGTCTTGCCGGCGAGCTTGCCGCGGCTGGCGACGCCCTCTGTCCAACGAAAGAGCTTCCCGTAGCCAAGACATTCCTGTCCGCCGACTGTACACTTGTGACAGTGGGGATAGGAGCGGTCACAGCGGAGGCGGCGGCGGCGACAGTTGTGGCATGGCTTCGTCGGGGCGTTGAGCATCTCGATGCGTGACATTGCAGCTGGTTGCAGGTAGCCGCAGGCAAGGCTATCCGGGTGCGCGTCAGCACGAGTGCGAGAGTGGGCGGCCGGCGATGCAGGCGTGTGCGCGGTATCCAGACTCTAGACTCTGGAGTGAGGTAATCTCGAGTCTCGGCGGGCGGTGGGTAAGGTTCCCGTCGTCTCCCCAAAGGCCCCAAAGGCGCAGGCTCAATCCAGAAACGGAAGTAAGCTGTCTTTGTGGTAACGATAACGTAAAACGGACAGGGTCAGACAAAGCTTGATTTAGTCAGAGGGCGCCGGACGGTTTGTCGAGGCGGCTCGTGAGAGGATGTTGGTGGTGGTTTCTATGGGAAGCGGTGATTGTGACCGGGTAGTGGTTCGGTTGACGCAGATACTGCCTCAATGGAGAAAAGAAGCGTCAAGACATGCATGACAAGTATGTCCAGGATTGGTAATCGGAGGGGTCCTGTTGTACTGGTGAAGGCGGGGATGCCAGATGAACGTCAGAGCCTCAGAGTGCTCGGTTTGCGCCAGCTCGGAGGGGAAGCGAGATCAGATTGGGTGAGGATTAGGAGGGTTGTCAGATAAGGTGACGTTGAGCAACGGTTTCATGCGGAGGATGGAGAGTCCGAGACTCCAATGCTCCAGCTCTGTGTACAGTGGGTAGATTGTCGATTGGAAATGATATGGCGGTGACGCTGTTGGCCTGTTGCTGCTGCTGCTCGAGGTTGTGGTGACGGGAATCGTGAAGCGTCGATTCGGTGGCCGAAGTCACCGGCACGCAGATACCGTCCGATAAGAACCGATAAGATGGCACACTACCTAGTCTCAATCTAGAAGCCAAGCAACAATTCGTGCATTTCCTGTCTCCACATTTTCTTCTCGAAGACGAACAGCACGGACAGTAAAGATGACGCTTGGTTCGTCAAAAAGCACTGACTTGGCTGAGTCATCACTTTTTGACAGATGCACTAGACCCAATTAGGCCTCTTACGTCTGAAGAACCCCACAGAAATCGTTCCATGTTGCGACAAAGAACCAACCAGAAGAAAGGATGTGTCAAACGTACTCACTTTTCGGAGAGAAGTTCACATCTTCGCATCTTTACCATGTCCACACGGAGTAGTACACCACCACTTGCAACACCCTGACACCTCGAATTATTGTGTCATCACATCCAAGGGCGTCATTTCGGTCGTCACCAAGCAGCAGACACGCAGGTCGCATACCAAACAGAGGCAAACTAAGCGATCGAGGACCCTGGGCCAAGACCGACAGGCAGACCCTCTCTCGTGATTCATTTCCCGTCTCAACTGCCAAAGTTTCGTCCCTCGAGCTGACTCAACGCGTAATTGGTAGTGGTCTTCCTGAGCTTAGCAAGCTTAGCAAGCTTAGCAATTCTGGCACTTGTCGCTTAGAACCACTGCGCAACAAAGAACATGCTGCCACAAATCTTCTGTTCCAAAACCCGAAACGGTGGCAGTTCTTTGCCGAGAAGGGCAGCCAAGGCGCACGCCATGCTCCAACGACCCGTCTCCCGCACTTCTGTCACCTTTCGAGCCATGTGAGCCTTCTACGCTTCTCTGCCCGCGGGCTGGAACCTTGAGGAGCCAAGCTGGACATCTGGGACGACGGTGCCCCATCTAGGCCCGTGGGTTCGTTTGTCTTCCCGGCGCTGGTCGTTGATCCTAGGCCAGATGCAAATCCTGACGCTCCATGTCTCCATTTCTCCACACCAGATGGCAAGAGGCCACCCCCGATTAGAAATTCTCTGCGTCAAAGAGCTTTCCTTTGATGGATCGATGACCTGCTCCTGGCTGCTATTTAGATCTTGGAGGGACCCATTACCATGCATCCCGTGCCTATCTGGTTTTTTCCTATTGTCAAGCCATGTATTGATATGACTGAGAAGATCTTTACGATAAACATAATAGACTCTTTGTAACTGTACACTACAAAATAACCTGAAGATACATAGCGCAAAAAGACCAATGACACAGCGCGACAATACCGACCGGGAAGCCGGCTCCGGCGGCCAGCCTACGGAATTCGACGTCGAGTTTCTCGGCCGACAACGCCCGGCCGTCTTCAAGTCCCAATGGTCCGAACTGGGCTTCTGCTTTTCCCTTTTGGGATCCATGTTGATGGCTGTAAGTCTGACTTCGCAATACTACAAGATAAAGGACATCTTCACTTTGAGGCGTATGGACTCTAATTTACAACCCAGGAATACTTTGTCAGTGGCTTTCACATCATCCTCCCGCCCCTTGCCGAAGAGCTCGACATCCCCGCCGCCTCCCAAACATGGCCCTCGAGCGTCTTCTCTCTCGTCACCGGCGCCTTTCTCCTCCCGCTCGGCAGGCTGGGTGACATGTACGGCGGCTACCTGACCTTCAACATCGGCCTCGCCTGGTTCTTCGTCTGGTGCCTCGTCGCCGGCTTCAGCAACAACTACATGATGCTCATCGTCTGCCGAGCCCTCCAAGGCCTCGGCTCCGCCGCCTACCTCCCCGCCGGCATCATGCTGCTTGGCAAAATCTACCGCCCGGGGCCCCGCAAGAACCTCGTCTTTGCCCTGTACGGTGCCTTTGCGCCCATCGGCTTCTTCTTTGGCATCCTCATCGGCGGCGTGTCGGGACAGTTCCTCAACTGGCGTTGGTACTTTTGGCTCGGCAGCATCGTCCTGGGTATCATTGCCGCCGTGTCTTTCATCACGATCCCGCGCGACTACGGTGATAAGCGCCAGGACATCCGCATGGACTGGTGGGGCGCCGCGACCATCGTTCCCGGCCTACTGCTCGTGGTCTATGCCATCACCGACAGCTCACACGCGCCCCAGGGCTGGGCGAGCCCCCAGATTCTCGTGACGCTGATTTTGGGCGTCGCCTTCCTCGTGGCGGCGTGGTACGTCGAGAGCCGCGTATCTGCGAACCCTCTGCTGCCAGGTGACCTCTTTGCTCCCAAATCCATGAAGACGCTCGTGGCCGCCCTCTTCTTCGCCTACGGCACTTTCGGCCTCTTCCTCTTCTACTCAAGCTTCTACATTGAGACGGTGTTGCACAAGTCGCCGCTGCTGACGGCTGTGTGGTACGTGCCCCTCATCGTCGGCGGCATCATGATCGGCACCGTCGGCGGCTTTACGCTGCACCTCCTCCCCGGCAGAGTGCTCCTCGCCATCTCGGGCACGGGCAACCTCCTGAGCGTGCTTCTGTTCGCCATCATGCCGGATAACCCAAACTACTGGGCCTACGTCTTCCCCGCCATGATCTGCGGCACAATCGGCATCGACATTACTTACACGGTCAGCAACGTCTTCATCACGACCAACCTACCCAGCCACCGCCAGGGTCTCGCCGGCGCGCTCATCAATAGCCTCCTGTTCCTGGGCATCAGCTTCTTCCTCGGCATCGGCGACGTCGTGGTCGGCGAGACGTCCGGCCTGGGGCTCAAGAAGAGCTACCAGGCGGCCTTTTGGCTGGCCACCGGCGTCGCTGCCGTCGCGCTGGTGCTCTACGCTCTCGTTCGCATCGGTTCCGCAAAGAGCGACCTCACGATGGAAGAGCGCGAGCAGCTCGCCGCGGCGGACGCCGAGGCTCGATCACGGTCGTTGGATAACACGTCGACGATGCACGAGGATGCAAACGACCAAGACGCTTCGGCGACGGCGACCGACACCGATGCGGAAAAATGCAGGCCGTCTGCGCCGGAGGAACAAGTCCCGGGGAGGTGAAAGAGCAATCGACCATAAGAACTTTTACGACCGTCACGTCTTTGATGAATATTCTCCTTCCAACCTTGGTTGTTGACCGCCTCGAGAAGCTTGAAAGAAGAAGGCGCACGCATAACGTCGTATGGAACTAGACAAATTAATTGATTCGGAGGTGTGGAGACTGTGAGAGGGCAAAACCAATATGTTTGCCATGCAGGAACAAGATTGGGCAATACGCCGCGCCAACCTCCAGGTTCCTGGTGGAGGGGTGAGGATCATCCATCACGAGGACAGAATTCGTCGGGCGCAGAAATTCCACCATGGACCTTGAGGTAAATACTGTGCGAAAACGAACCAGGCGATGCGTGTTACGACTTACGCACTCGAGAGTCATGGAAGGCAGAGAGACCTTCTGCCTCGCACCCCCGAGAAGCCGCGGCTCTGAGGACATCGACAGGCCCAAAAAAAGAGGCAAACTCCACCCAATAATTCTGGAGTCCGCAGGATCTCTTCAAGACTCATCATCTCATGGGCGGAGGTTGCATTGAAATGCGCTCAGCCTGATTTCCTCACCAAGAAATTCTACCCAGCCTCGTACCGCCCGCCAAGTTTTCTGTGTGAGCGGCGCGCGGGAGCGGGAGAGAAGCACGTCTTCATTAGCCGTCGCCACTGTTCCTGAACGCCGAGATTTGAATAATACAGGGGAAAACAACAGAGCCAAGACAGATTAACGCTCTGCAGCCTCTGGAGGCTCTTCCAAGACTCCCATCGAAAAGTCTTGGGAGCCCAGGGTTGGAAACTGCCAACTCTCCGAGATAACCGTCTTGGCAACGCTTCTTGGCATTGTCGATTCACAGTGAGAAGGCTGAGTGAGTGGTGGGAACGACGACATGGCATCTACAGGTATACTATGCGGCGATGCGCAGGAGACTGCCATTGTGTTGTGGGAATTGCATGTATTGGAGACTTGGAAATCCCACTCAAAGGAAGGCAAATGCGCTGATCGGTGTGGGTTTGGCTTACACAGTTACAAAGAAAGAGGGGGGACGGGAGCATGAGGTTAATTAGGCACGTTTTGGGTTTCCCATTAATGCTAGCACAGCAATCTTTGAATGTCTACCTCATCACTGTACCACCTTACATAAAGATCAAGGTACGATTACAGATACTGTTAAAGATATATTGTCACATTGTGCAGGGCTCAGACCATGAGACCAGGGCGGCGCATGGAAACGCAAATGATTGCTGGATACGTGAATAAAGGAGCTCAGAGGGGGTGTGGAGTTTTTATTGAGTCGCCAATGAGCAACAATCTACACAAGTTTCACCAACACGTCTACCACTCTACCACTCTACGTCAATATACAATGTTCTGACTGGTGGCCCTATTCTTGTCCGTAGTAGTGCACATCCATGATCTGCCTTGCTTTACACTATTCTGGCGACCTTATTCTTATTCGTGGACTCTGAGTCCGAGCGATGCAGTAGAGAGAAACCTCCCACCGGCTTGGGGCATTGAGCAACCACACGACCAAATACAACAACTCCAGGTCACCGGTCACTGTTCAGTGCAACCAAAAACTACACCCCGATTCCCCGAAGAACATCGGCCTGTCCATCGTCCGAAGTACGCCGCCGTGTCCAGCGGTCAGGATCGGCCGGTGGGGTTCAACTTGACCTGGGTCCGTGTGTTGTTACGCCCATCCGAGGGTGAGGGACTGCTATGAAGACCCTCCCGACGTAAGGGGTCCCATCTTCTTTTCGAGATGGACACACGCCTCGACCCCGTCCAGTGTCAGGGGGAGCCCGCAGCAGCAAAATCCATTTCAGGGAACGATCCGGGTACGCGCCGACGACTTCCATTCCGTTCCAAAATTGGCAGCTCCAGCGCCAAAACATGAAAGTCAAAAGAACCGACATTCAAGGTTTCGGGGCGCTAGAAATTTAAGGTAGGCGCCGGGGAAGAAGACGACATCGGTAGAACCGTAGAATAAGCATCGGGAAAACGGAACGGACGGCTTCCAGAGACGAAGAGATTCAGATCACATACGGCAATGGTCAAAATAAGCATCGGAGAACGGAACGAACGGCTATTAGTAGGCTGTTATACTGCCGCAATAGGATGGACCACAAGAGCTCAGCAGGACAACCCCAGATACTGAGAGCGATAGTTGGCATAACTTATTCGTACACGTCCCAAACTAGCACCGCGAAAGCCAAGAAAAAGAGGTGACATTCCTCTGCCGCTTTCCAAAGTCCCAAGACCTCGAGAAAGCCCAGGCCACGCAACTCTTCTCCCTGGGGTTCGTTGTCGAAATCAAAAAGGCTTGGTACTCAATAAAAGTATTGTGCCATATGCGACTTTCCTACACCAATCTCCGCGCCGCCCATGTCCGACAACTCGATGTTGAAACAGGACTGTTGACCATATTAACAAACCGTGGCGAGAGACAATGGAAAATAGGGGTGCGTACACCCCAATGGTGCGGAACACGCCAAGCAAACCGAGGGCCCCAGCTGCAGCCTGCGCGTCCGACAAGGCCAGTGCCCAGGCCCGGGAAGAGGAAGCAAGAATACTTGGTTGCTGGTGTTTCCAAGCTTTGCTGAACTCAATTGCTATTGACTCATAGCTGTCGAAGCAGTTCGATGCACCTACCAAGAGGAATAGTAAACCCAAATAATGATATTGAGATCCGGGAACCAAGTCCGGGTTGCTGGTCTTCGGCTCCGGCACACATTTCACGACATCAAGCTTTCCCACAGTCCGATGTCTTCTATGGAGGTTAGGCCCGGCAGTTCAGTGCCTGACAGGTCTCCGCGCTTTCTTTTCTCCAGCAAGATCAGTTGACCTAGCAGCACCCAAGAAGGGGGTAAAAGGGGGCGGAGGAGCAAAGAAAAATCTCCTGTAATCCCGTGAAGAGCTCCACCGTGTTCTCCACGATCTGGTTGATTCAGGGAGGCAGAACCTGCATGTCTCCGACTCTCAGTACGGAGTAGCCTGCTATGACCACTGACGACGAGTCACAAAACTGCTGGCCTGTCTGCTGGCAGTGCTGAGCAAGCGTGGCAGGCAGAAAAAGGAAGCGGGGGAGTGTATCCCAACTGGGCATTCCGTAGGCCTTGCTTGCAGTGGTTGCGTAAATGTGGGCTGCTGCGGACAATAAGCGCCACGCTCCGGCGGGCAGGGTTGGCTGACAATCTGGCAGTTGAATGACGGGAGTGACAGCCTGCATATCCCACGCATCCTCGCCGCAGACTATGCAGAGAAAGAGAGAGAGGCGTTCTAACTGGTGCGACAACCTGAACCTGAAGCTCTGAGATGGCCCGGGCATAAGGCGCAGGGACGAACTCCATCTGCCAGTGTCATGTGTTGGCTGAAGTGCTCTTGGTGCTTAGATAGTACCGGCGTAAAGCCTTTCGAAGCTGTCAGGGAGTTGGCTAGTTGTGAAGCGCCACCAGCATGACACGACTCTGTGAGCTGCCGTGAGAGCTTCCGCGTAACAACACTCAAGAGTCAAGAGTCGATACTGATGTGAAGAGTCAAGCTCGCCACGACTTGACGCTAGGTGACGGAGAAATACCTTATCTGAGACAGATCCTTGCCCCCACAACTCTACCTGATTTTAAATTTAATATACGCCGGGACCATGAACCCCACTTGAGCCATTCCCGTTCTGTATCCCTGACACCCTCAACCCCGGTGGGTTGACCCCCGAGCCGCCGACCCAACGACAACGACAACGACCCAGAATTCCTTCTCTCCAGTCTCCATCTTGCCTACGGTCCATCCTCCGGCCTCCGGCCGACGGGTCTGCCCCCGAACGTGGGAACAATATGACGAAAAAGGAAACCAACGTGAACAACCACACGCCCCCTCCCCTGGTGCCTTCAAGCCCTTGACAACTAGACGACATGACTTCCTCATTCCAGCTAGCGCCCTCGTCTGACGGTCTCCTTCTGTCCATTCCCGGAATACACCAAATCGATTAAACAACTGGACCCTGCGGTAAGTGGGAGTTGCTGGTTGTTCAACTCCGTCGGTGAATTCATCTGGGAAAAACCTAGGAGGAAAACGTGTAACCGCGTCCGCAAACCTGCAGAATATGAGGGGAGGTCCTGGAATTCTGCTCACCTATTCACGTTTTTTTTTTCTGTCTGTGTCCTTTTTTCTGCCTCCATCCCCCCTTTCGGACCCAAACTTGCTCATCCCACACTATTGAGCGACTGCCGTAATTGAAGGGACCCATCTACTCCGTACGGAGGCCTCGAGTGCGTTTTCTTCTTCTGCTTTTGTCCGAAAATACTGACTTGGTGCCCTGGACCCGGGTAACTGACGTCGTCCCCGGGGAACCAGTATTGAGGCTCTTTCTTCCGATGACTGACAACTCCACCCACGGTACTGGGCCTGATCCGATGCCCAGTGGCCCTCGTCACCCTTCTTTTGCCGTGATCTGATCCGTGAGTAGGAAGAGCCGAAGAGTTTTCCGTGGATCACTAGATCATACGGAAGAAAAGGAATCATCATTGAAATCCTTCTAGTCTATCCGTGTTCTCCTCACAATGATACCTACAACCCATCCCATGTTCTCGGACTCCCTCCATCATGGCTCCATATTCACTTGCTCTCCACACCACCCCTGCCACATGTCGTCCGCCCTTCTTCTTTTTTTTTTCATCCCATCAATCATCCCCTGGCTTCATTTCGAAGCCCACATCCCTCTATATACCCTGGCTCGTTTCCAAACGTCAACTCGCTCTTACTGGCTTAGTTCGTGTCTTGGCGGAATATCGACCAAACACCTCCTGGCCTGCGTTTCTCCTAGACAAACGAACCACCATCTCTCAGCTCGTACCACGCCCACCACCACGCACAGCAGTGACACCACATGGTCGACCTCTTTCAGGCTTTCCGTCCCGTCTATTCGTGCGATTTCCAAGTTCGAGATCGCGGGCCCCGGGTACCGCTTCACTGCCACCGTGACATTGGACCGCCCGTGCTTCGTGCTGCCAGCAACCGGCATGTACCTTCTTGGGTCTTCTACTCTGCCCACTGCTTCCTTTTCAGGTTGATGTCCAATATACTACAAGCTCTCTCGTGTTTTGTCCCTTTCCCGCCCTATGTATCCGTAGTGTATCTCGTACCGCCAACCTTCTCCATCATCCCCTGCGCCTGACGCGATGAGCAGCGTGATCAATGAATGTACTCTATCCCGTGGTCTCTGTATACCAAAGCCCACCCAGACATACACCCCTCCCCCCTCCCCTTCTCTTGATGTTTCTCCACCCACGAGTGCACCCATCACGACTCTCTCTCCGCCAAGGACCTCCCAACATGTGGCCCAAGCCTGTCTAGGCCCAGGCAAGGCACCACGCAAGTGCCAAGCCCCAAAGCGTCGAGAGCCTCCTCCTACCTTACCTTACTGCTCGGCCTGGGTCCCGCTCGTAGCCTTCAATACCACCATGATCCTCGCCAAGACCAGGGATATGCCAAGATGCGCACGCGTACGCAAGCCATCACCCCCCTTCCGGGACTCTCCCAGACTGGACCAGAGAAGGAAGAGATGAACAGTACTGCAGTCTGCAGGACAAGGCCTGCTCGAGTTTCTCCAGAAGAGCCCAAAGGAAAGGGTCTTGGCCCTTGGCAACAGAAGCTTAGCCAAGAGATGTCTTGGCTCTGAATACTTAAGAACCATCCTCCTCCGGCCCTCATACTCACTTGCCCTTTCGATCTCCATCCCGCTTCACTTCCAACTTCTTCAGTCCTTCAGCTCTTTCGCGCTCTTTGCATTCGTTCTCTCAGTAACCTCACTGTCAATACCTTCGTTCGACGTAGACCGTCAACCCCATTCTCTATTACAACCACTATCAACCAACCACACAACTAGCACCCCAGCTTATTAACGAAAAGAAGTCAAGATGAAGTTCTCTATCGCCTCCTCCATCGCCGTCCTGGCCGCTCTGGCCAACGCCACCCCGACTCCCACCGTCGTCGGCGGCAACGCCGTCGACCCCCGTGCCGTCGAGAAGCGCGCCACCATCACTGACGCCTGCGACGTCGGCTACGGCGCCGGCACCACTGGTGGCTCCGGCGGTACCACCACCACCGTCTCCACCCTGGCCCAGTTCACCGCGGCCGCCACCTCCTCCGACAAGGCCGTCATCGTCGTCAAGGGCGCCATCACCGGCGCCACCAAGGTCAAGGTCGGCTCCAACAAGTCCATCATCGGTGCCAAGGGCTCCTCCCTCACCGGCGTCGGTCTGTACATCAACAAGCAGGAGAACGTCATCGTCCGCAACATGAAGATCAGCAAGGTCCTCGCGGATAACGGCGACGCCATCGGCATCCAGGCCTCCTCCAAGGTCTGGGTCGACCACTGCGAGCTCTCCTCCGACCGTGACAACGGCAAGGACTACTACGACGGTCTCCTCGACATCACCCACGCCTCCATGGCCGTGACCGTCTCCAACACCTACCTCCACGACCACTACAAGGGCTCCCTCGTCGGCCACTCCGACTCCAACTCGGCCGAGGACACTGGCAAGCTGTACGTCACCTACGCCAACAACTACTGGAAGAACATTGGCTCCCGTGTCCCCTCCGTCCGCTTCGGAAACGTCCACATCTTCAACAACTACGAGGAGAGCATTGACACCTCCGGTGTCAACACCCGCATGGGCGCCCAGGTCCTCGTCGAGTCCTCCGTCTTCTCCTCCGTCAAGAAGGCCATCACCTTCCTCGACTCCAAGACCACCGGCTACGCTACCGTCTCCGACGTCGACCTCGGTGGCTCCACCAACGACGCCCCTGCCGGCACCTTCACCAAGCCCGACTACTCCTACTCCAAGCTCGGCTCTGCCAAGGTCAAGGCCTCCGTCGTCGCCTCCGCCGGCCAGACCCTTTCCTTCTAAGTTACTAGTTGTCCTTAATAGTGGTGTGAGAATTGCTGCAATCAGCGCTGCCGGCCGTGGGATGTTTGTGTCCCCGGTTGGAAAGTACTAGGAAGAAGTACGGAATTCATGTAAATACTTTTCTCTCTCAAGGCATCAGACAAGGCCCTTGGCCACCTGGTTCTGTAGATACAAGTTGCCGGTTTCAACACACTCTTATTTTCCAGATGCAACGTGAACGTGACGGTCATTAAATGTTTCTCTGCTTCGGTGGCGACGAATAATAAAGGGGCAGAATGATTAATCTTACATTGATGGTAATTCTCCAAACACCGGCCGGCATCTTGTGGCTTGATTCAACCATGTCACCCAAGGGAACCATGGTAGTCAAAGGACTTGGTGCAGCAGAGCGAGAAATCGATTCTGATAGGTTTCTAGGTAACTCTGTTCCTACGTAGACATACTCGTGGGTCACTCATTGGAAAGACTGGAAAAACTGTCCCCAACACCCCATTACATGGGCTTGCAGCCAGGTGGCAGCTTCGGTTCCTAATTGCCCTTTCTGGTCACGCCGACCTCGTTCCAGGCATCCCTCACGATCTTGCCTGCCTCGTCTCCATACAGCTCCTCTGCGATCTCCGTTGTCACATCGGCAAACTGGATGAACGTGCACTTGGGAGGAACACGGCCCGAGTTCATAGTCTTCCACCAGATGGGACCAGCCTTCTCGTACGAGAAACCACCAAAGCCCTTCGCCGCAAGATAGAAAGCCTTGTTCGGAATGCCTGAGTAGATGTGGACACCGCCGTTATCCTCGAAAGTCGGAACGTAGTCCTTGAAATGAGCTGGCTGAGGATCCTTTCCGAATCGCGGGTCGTCATAGGCAGTGCCAGGTTCCTTCATGCTCCTGAGAGCAACACCCTTGACACCGGGCATGATGCAGCCTTCGCCAATGAGCCAGTCGGCTCTCTCTATTATGGTTGTCAGTAATGTCACCGCCGTGATGGGCATTTTCCACTGACCGGCATCCTCCTTTTCGACAATCTGCTTCACGATGATGCCGAAAACGTCGGAAACGTGCTCATTGAGAGCTCCGCTCATTCCCTGGTAGTCGAGGGGACTGGTGTGCTCAGTCACAGCGTGGGTGAGTTCGTGGCCGATGACGTCGATGGTTCCAGTGAAGTTACTCAGGAACTCTCCGCCGTCTCCGAACACCATCTGCATACGCTCTGGGTCCCAGACTGTCGTTTACTGTCAGTACAGTCCTAGAAGTTCCAGATGAACAGAGGAAAATAGTACTTACATGCGTTCTCGTATTTCTGACCGAAGTGGACCGAGCTGATGACATGCATGTTCTTGTTGTCGATGGAAATCCAGTTGAACTTTTCCTTGTACATCTTCAGTACCTCGCCAACATTGTCAAAAGCGTCATTGACTGCCTTGTCGTCGACAGCCTTTTGGCCCTCTACACGAACCACATCACCAGGCAACTTGCTCTCGTTCTCGGTGTTCTTGGCGTCATAGATAGCCCGGTAGAACTTGTCGTCCTTCTTACCGGCAGTGGCAGCGAGGGTGACCTGGTCCTGTGGACCTCCGACTTCGCCCTGCTGAACCTGCTGGACCTTTTGCTGAACACCTCTTATGTGGTCAAGATCCCTCTTGGCACAGGCTCTGGTGTCATCGTCGACGTCCGTTGAATCGGCAATGTGCTGGAGCAAGATATCAGGGACGATGGAAGGGCGGGAGTGGGAAGAGAGCTGGTGACGCTGGGCGCGGGGACCACCAAGAATGGCGAGGCGCTCGGCACGACGGGTAGTGAACTGCTCGCGAAGGCTCAAAGCCTGTCTCGCAGCATGACGCGTATGCTCGCTATTGCACTCGGCGTCGGCGATGGCCTTGAGCAGGTGGGGAGGCACGACGTAGCACACGTGATCGGCCATGATGAATGACTAGGTAGTATCAGAGTTGGCGTGGAAAGACAGAATATTCGGTGAATGTCTTGGCGAGAAGACTCTGGTAGAGGCTGTGAAATTGAAGTTGCGAGGATATCAAGAGAAGTGTGAGATGTTGAAGGTTGAGTGAGGATGTAAGAAGAAGAGAAGATGGTATCGAGGACGTCGGGGGGGTGGCCTCTTATGGGCAATAGCTCGGTGAGGAGTTGAGGGGGGATGAAGGTGAGGAAAGGTGGACTACCTAGTGTCTGTCTGCCTGCCTTTCTGTTGCCTGCCGTGTATCACTTTGAGACTTGCTGAAAACGCGGGCTGGAAGTGAGGCAAGTGCAGGTTTCCAAGTTTGGGGATTGGATCCAGTTGTCTGTCTGTATGCGCCAGTTGGTGTTGTTGCTCAGCCTTGAAGAGGCAGCCATGCAATGCAACCTTCCTGGGACTTGTTGTCTTATCGCTGGCAGCTTTGCCTGGCCCTATCAGAACGGAGAAGGCCAAGACATAGCGATACAGCTGTCGTCCGAAGGCCAATGTGATTGCGTGACGGGGGGCCAGAGCTGTCCCAATGGGGTCGGCATTCGTGAGCTATTGGTACCCCTCTTCACATCGGACAACCCACTTCTCCATCACGAATCCATCATGGGCTTTTCTACGTAAGTCGCGGGGTCGAGAAGGTGTCTTTACCCGGAGAGACCAAATAATCTTGTATTCAAGTTGTCACTGGTGGCTTGAATGCCATATTCGCAAGGTGCGAAAGGTACATATGTCAAGGAGCAAAGAGCCGGAGTTGAAGCAACGTAATGGAAGCAATGACAAGCAATGCGAAAGCGACCACCTCAGATGACGACCAAGGTACCGATAAGATAAGAGCTCCAGATACCTACCTTAGGTACCTTAGGTAGGCGCGGGACTGGGGCGCAGCGGGTGCCACCCACATGCCGTGACCAGGTGTTCATGTCCAGGGGACGTGTAACTTGGTAAACGAGGCAGGAATGTGGCACAAGTCAGAGGAGTCGATGGGAAGGCGAGACGGCAGATCAAGAAAAGCTTTTCCGAAGGCTGAAAGCTCCCCGGAGCGTTTGTTGTGGCGTCGCATTTGTTGACTTACATGCCGTTGCACGAATTGGATACCTACGCCCTGTCTCACTCGGGTCCACTATCTTGGTGTATGTGTCACTCGACGTCATTCTCCCCGTCTCACAAAACCTTGAATGTGCAAGGTAAAGCTTCGTCGCTTGACATTTGGGTGCGAGACCCTGCGGGCCAGACAAATGGCTTAACTGACGATTCTTTCCAGATAGGAAACAAGTCACCGAACCAGTCACGTCACGCCCGTCAAGCCAGTCAGAGCGTAGTTCAGCTGGGCAAGGGAGAGCTGAATAAGGTGCAGAACTTCAGGTAGCGGTACCTTACTGAGGACCCACTCCAACTGCGGAGACTGCCGGCGTCAACCCGGGCCGCAGAACGCAAGTGCCGGCTGAGCCCCGGCCAGTCCCGTTTCCCCACTAGAGTCTTTGGCGCCTACCTTACTTTGCACTTGAGCAAAAGTGCATGGAGGAAAATGTTGTGCTACCTGGCTTACTTGCGTCGTAGGAAGATAACCTTTGATGTAAGATAGGATGGGAAAGGTAGGTAAGCAAGGCTCTGGCGGACGAATGTTACCATTATGCTGTGCTAAAGTGTAAGCGGGCATCGTGTTACTCCGTGAGAGGCTGACAACTTCCTTTTTCCGTAGTTGTGATTCGAATCAGTCGCATTGCGAGACTTATCTTCGGTGTAGAAGGAAGTAACACTCCTTGTGTGTAGGTAATGTGATCCTCGAAATACCTAGGTACCACACTACCTTACCTAAGGTAAGGTAGGTAAGTACCACGTGAGGAGGCAGCCTGAAGATGGGAAGATCACACCTGCCTCATCATCACCATAAGTCTTTGGTACCTACCTGGGCAGCTACAGATCCTCGAATGCTCGGGGAAGGAGGGATGCTGGGTTTCCTTCCAGAATCGTCTCAGGATCAAGGACTTGGTCGGGTGCCTTTCAATTCTTCCCTCTCCCTTCATCCCCTCAATTCAATGTCATTCTTCAACTCGGTTCCAATTCTGCCTCCATAAGGTAGCAAATCCAAGCGTGCTGGGCTGCGATAGCAAGAAGTCAATCGTTCACGATGCCTCCCCTCCTTACCCCTAAACCAACACCCTCCAAGGTTCCTCATTCTCAATCTCAGTCTTCGACACCAGCTTCTCGACCCTCGCAAAGCACACAGGCCTCAAAGAACCCCAAAACAACAGCAGATCTCTCACCAGAGCATCATGCAATCATGCTTCGTCACGCACTCTCCTCTCCGACAATCCGAGCACTTGCTTCCCTTCCCCGCGGCCCACCTCCCGGAGAGATCCTCCGTTGTGCCTCTTCCGCAACAGAATTCCTCTCCTTCACCTTCAATCCTTTGGAAAAGGTTGCCTTCTCCCACATCAACAACGATCCTTCAACCCGCTGGCCCCTGAAAGAGACCCTGACTGAGCCCTGGCACAAGGTCTTCCTCGTCGCCCAATGCGAAGCCTCGGGCGGAGACTACGGCGACCGCCTCTCCCTCAAGGCCCGGCAGAAGCTCTTGTCCGACAAACCCCGCATAGTAAAGATCCTGGGTCAGGTTCTGCGTGCCTGCGCCGACATCATGGGTTGCCGCAAAGACGCCGTCGGCCTGAGGCGCTCCCTCGAGACCTGGCGTGCCGTCGTGTCCAAAAGCTAGGAGGGGCTGGCGACGGAGCTACTTCAGGTACCCGATATTGGGCCGAAAAAGATGATCACGCTCGTCGAGCATGGCATCAGAACCATACGCCGGCTTGCTGAGATGGACTTCTTTCACATCGAGAGGGTGCTCTCCCGAAATCCGCCATTCGGTCAGAAGATTGTGCGTAGCTTGGCACACTTCCCACGCCTCGTACTTGCTGTTGACATACCCAAACGCGACGAGGGCCCGAAAAGTGGTGTCATCGTTCGCGCCATCCTAGGCTGTTCGAATCGCGAGGCTCCAGTATGGAAAGGGACGACACCTTGGGTCACAATGGCTGCCGAGACCTCGGTTGGCCGACTGGTCTTTTTCTGGAAGGGAAAGGTCAAGAGCCTTATGCCGAGCAAAAACCTCGTGTTCTCCATCGAAGCGGCCAAGGGCGAGAAGGTGTTCGTGTGGGCAAGTTGCGAAGAGATTGCTGGTACTTATGTGACAGGGGAGGTCACCGTCTAGATTGATGCGGTTGGAAGTAATTGAACGAGTACTCATTTTCAGAAGAGAGATTTCCATGGCATGTGAATATTTGCCGAAGAGCTTCAAGGGCTATGACAGAGTAGCAATGGACTGACTATTGAGTCCTCAAAACCATGTATGCACTTAGCCGCATAGTGCAATGATGCCAGTGCAGTTTGTTAGTAGTTAATTCGCTATCATCGTGAGCGACAGCTCTGCCTTATGCGTATAATAAGACTGGACTTATCGATCTCATTATCATTGTCTGCTACTCGAATATGCGGGCCACATCATCAAGCACTCCCGCAAAGCATAGTCGTAACGATGTAAAGCTCTTATTCTCCGAGCGGCTAGCGCTGTACCGCTCGTCCGTAGCATGCAGCTGCTAGTCTCTGCAATATGAACACTCGCGCTCTCGACTCCCTAAGAGGGGCCTCAGATATACAATGCACCGTTGCCTGGACCTTACGGTCTGGCCGGGTATCGCTGTTGATGATACTGTGTGGTGTGTGGGTGGTTTGCTCACATGCAAGCCGGACTCTATTCCAGGACTCAATGTCCAAATATTCCGGAGCATGCCACCCGAGATAAGACAAAAAAAAGGTGCACAAAAAACGAGCCCCCCCTCCAATCCTTTTTATTACCCAGCCTTTTGTTGCTCGTCATGGTACTCCCCATCCGATCCCCCAACTCGACTCCGGTCAACGAATTTACGTTTACAGCATTTCAAAGTGACGTCATTATAGCGACGACGTGATGCAAATTAGTCGTCGCGGTTCTTGCCCCTGGCTGATGGCGCTCGGTGGTGGTGCAGCATAGGCGACGATGGCCTAGACGTCGAAAGTCCCATGCTGCGGACCGCATCGAGCGGGTCGAGGTTAAGCTTGGTTTCGTCGGTGACGGCTGGCGTGTACGCCGGGTCAACCATTGCCTTCTCGTAGCTCGCAATCGTAATCGGTGGCGGGCGGCCCTTGCGATCGGGAATGCTGTAGATGTAGGTCGCGGCAAGAACCAGAGTAGTACCGAGAATAAACTGAGAAGGTCAGATTCAAGAATCATGGCGGGCTGCGGGAATTTACTTACGGAGAAATTGACTTCAAAGTTAAAGAACCAAACGCTGAATAGAAAGCTGATAACGATACTGATGCTTGCAGCAAAGTTCTTTGCAATGTTGTCGGCGTAGTTAATGCACAACGACGCAAGCACGCCGCCGACAGCTTGGAATACGATTGCGGTCCATACGACCCAGTTGTAGCCATCGAAGAAACCATGCTTGGCAATGTCTTCCGCATCAATCAAGATAACGCCTGCTAGAGCAGGGAACAGCGAGTAAAACGACAGCTGGATGTTGCGCGTCCATACAGAGGCATGGGTTCCTGAGTCCTTGAGCATCTTCTCAAAGTAGACTCCAGCAAGACCCGAGGCGACGGCGGCGACGAGCACGGCGGTCAGTCCAATCGAGTAGTTCATGAGCGGTGACGGGTCTTGGTCCTCTTGGATACCCTGATACGAGGCCGACCGCTTCACGATTTCTCCGCCAACGCCCGCGAGACCGTCCGCGGCGCGCTTGGTGAGCTCACGGGCCACCTCCGCCGCACCCTCGGCAGCTTGACCAAGCTCGTGCACGGAGCGAGGAAAGAAATGGTCTGTGGTGTCGTGTAGGAGGATGCTGGCCGACGTCGATTCGGCATGGCTTGCGGACGAAGGTTGGGGAAGTGACACAATGGATACGCCCAAGGTCAAGATGATCAAAGAGATCCAGCGCTTCATACCGAGCGCGCGGCGAAGCATCGTAACGGAGAAGACAGCGGTCGTGAGAATCTGCGACGAGAACATGGTTAGTTCCGGTAGATCCCCCGAGATGAGAGAATCAATCCGTAACTGCGTACCTTGAGCTGGTATAGAACTTGGAAGTGAACGGCATCCAGGTTCCCAACAGCGACGTATTGTAGTGTGTTTTGCAGCGTGTATAGTGTTGCTGGAATTGCGAGCTTCCACCCATCGCCCGAGAACACGGAGTTGAAGATCTGCTCGAAGATGACGGTGGCCGGCGTGGACGGTGCCAATGTGCGCGAAACCTCTGCAATGGAGCAAGTCAAGCAAATTGACAGCTTGATCACCTCATTGAGGAAGACTGCGGTGGATGTGAAGTATCGGTGATCGCCCACGGGAGGCATGATGCGGGAGTAATGCATGATCTACCACGGCCGGGTCAGCGCTGGTTTCTAGAGATGGCGACAACGAGAAGGCTTACCAGAATCAGTGCCGAGTTTTGAAAAGTGAGCTATAGAGCGAGGCCATTATCAGTTTTCGCCGATATAGAAGGGAGCCTTTGCGCAAGGCTTGGGGCGAGCAATCATTTAGAGCGTACCGTGATGAGGGAAAGTTGCTTCATGGACATGCCGAAAAGTGTCGGCCCCCCCGCCGGCGGCGCGGCAGCGTCGAGGAGAGCCATTATGGCTGATGCGAAAGGAATTGAGATCGTCAAACGTGAGAAATAGCAATTGGCGGTGCTAAGATGAGTGGGCAGGTGTTTAGATTCGTGCGATGTGTGCTGTTCTTCTCGAAGTTTTGGGGGTCCTGTTTCGTCGGGTATTTTTGAACCGCCGATAATTCGTCGCGTTTAAAGGGGGGAACAAAGTGGGTGGTGTGGGAGCTAAGCTGAAGCTCTCCCTTTTTTGACCCTATTTTTTTCTTCCCGTCTCGTCGTAGGATGGTAGGTAGTGTACTTGGTAGGAGGTTGCGTCAAGACAGCGAATCGGGGTACAGATGATGATCTGGAGGGGTCTGGAACAATGTCAGAGCGGCGGCGGGCAGGTAATACGGTGGGTTGTATGGATCGCGTGGCAGCAAGTAGTGGTGATTGGCAATGTCAAGCTGCCGGGTGGTGGAAAGATGCAGACAGGTAGCAGGAGAGGAAGAGAAGGGGAAGGTTGGAAAAGAAGAAGAGAAGGGTTGCATTGAAGCCGTGGAAGAGGGTTGGAAAGTGTGTCGCGTTTCTCAATGCCCCAGGATGGGACGTTTCTAGCCCCCGTCCAAGCAAGAGCAAGTGCAAGTGCAAATCTGCGTGACTGCGACTGTGTGTTTCCTCTGCTTGGGATGCGCTGTCCGTGACGCAGGTACGCAGGTCCCTTCCTTCCCTGACTGGGTGAGGCGGCCCCTGACGTAAGGGAAGAGCAAGGGCGGGCAGGAGCAAGGGGGTTTCCTTCCGAAGCAGCTGGGGCAACAGGGCAGGCAAGCCGCAAGAGCACCTCACCTCAACCTGGAAGTCGCAAGTGCAAGTGCGAGTGCAGAGCAGGCAGGTGCCGTAGTGGAGTCACTACGGACCTGGAGACTGGAGTGACTGGGCAGCGGGCAGCGGGCAGGAAGGAGCAGGACGAGAAGGGGAGGAAGGGGGAAGGGGGAAAGGAAAGGACGACAAGGGTACGTACCCCTTGGTCTGGTCTCTGCAGTCTCTCGTCTCTCGTCTCTAATCTTTCTGGTCTCTCCTTCCAGATTTCTGCAGGTGCGAAGGGAGGGAAAGGTGCAAAACACAAATGCCAAGGCAAGTGCAAGATGCAGGAAAGAGGAAGAGGAATGAAAAAAAGAAGAGATGCAATGCGCGCCTGAGATGAAGTCTGTTCTCAAATGGCCTTTGAATGCACGTTTGCCGGCTTGCTAAGTGAGTGCACACGCTCTCTCACTGGCCTGGCTCCCAATTAGTGATTTGTTGAAAGTCCGGTGTCCGATGTCTCCTGCAAAAACCATGTGCTCTTATTTTGTCAGAGCCTGTCCGTAAGTGAATCTAGCAACCTCTACACTATAAGTAATTTAATAAACTAATAATAACCCCCCCTAGTTAAGGTAAGAGTCCCGTACATAATAGTAAGTACTTAGTTATTAATAGATCCCTAGGTAAATTTTTAGCTAATTATAAGCTAAAAATATTTTATTATATAATCGCTTTACTACTAGTTTAAATATTACGAGTTTTATATAATAAGGGAATATATTACTTTACGCTTTACTAAATTATTTTAAAAATATTTTTTAATTATATCTCTTCTTAATTATATTAAAATTCGCTTATTATAACCGACTCTATAAAATTATTCCTATAAAATTTATTTATCGTATATAATAATAATATTATTTTAATACCTTTACCTTAATAAAGCGAATTTAATCTATTATAAAATATTTAAAAAAATTTAGATTATAATAGCGCATTTATTTTATATCCTAATCTCTATAAATATCGAGCTCCTATTTATAAAAAGTTGATTAAATAAGTAAATATTATATAAATTAAACCTCTATACTAAATATTAATATAATACTTAAGTTATAAATAATAATTCTAATAATTATATTATTATTTCTAATAGCTTAAATATCCGTACTAAAACTTAAAATAACCGAGGTATTATTATAGTATAATAGCTTTAATATATAGCTAGTATACTTAAGTTTCCTCTAACTACTAATAATAAAATTACGCTTATTATCTTAACTAAAGCCTTATTTATAAAAGAAATCGAGCGGCTATAGGATATAGTATATTTAACTTTCTATTTCTTAATATTAGGAATTATTAAAGAATAGTAAATTTAATATAATACCTAACGAGGTATTATTAGTTTTTTAATAACTAGTATTATTCTAGGAGATATACCTATAACGCGATACTATTATACTTACTAAAATAGTAAAGCCTATCTATACATACCCTATAACGACTTTCATTATATAATTATTTCAAAAGACCTCGTTAAGAAGTATAATATACTACGAAATAGAGTTAAGATATTTAATATTATAAAAAAGATCATTAAGTAAGTCCGGTTATCTAAAAAACATTTTAAAAACGTTTTAAAAACGTTTTAAGAACATTTTTAATCGTTTTCTTTTTAAATAAAGTACTATTTATACTACACACGCTAAATTTAAAAAAGGCGTTATATATTAAGAACAGAATACAATATACTTTTTTAAACTAAAGAAAATATAATATAGTATATATATAAGATTACTTAATAAGATAATATAAATAACTTATAAAAGACTTAATAGGAACTTATTAGTTTTTAGTAATAGATCTTAGTATACCGAAATTCGTATCCTTTATAAAAACTTATAAATTACTACTTTTATCTAATTTTATTAAATTAGAAATATTATATATAATATATTAAAGTAGTTATAAACAAAACGGATACGTAATTTATAGAAAAAAGGGGTTAAGAATATTATATATTTATATCGAATTATTAAAAACGTCCTATTTATAATAAGCTTATTAAATATTTTATTAAAAGATAAGGCTAAGTTATTACTAACTAGATAAAACTTATTTTAGATTACTATTTAAACTTAAAGTAGTAAAGTATTCCGTTAAATATTAATACTTTATTCTAAAGGATATTAAGATAATACTATTTATTATTTTAACGTTTTATAGTAAATATAACTATCCTCTATTATTACTAAATAAAACTCTAAAAACTATTATTTAAAATATCTTTTAAATTCTCTAGAGGATTAATAAACTAAATACGAGTCTAAACGCCTTTTTTTAATCTCCTTAACTCTAAGAATTCCTAACTAAGAATAAGAGGTAAATAATTATAAATATTTATTAAAGCCTTATAAAAATAGACTTTTTATAATATATTATCCATAAATAATAAATTTTTCTATTTCCTAAGAGAAGTTAGACCTTAGCTCTTATATTATAATAGCGAAGAGAAGTAAATAAGCGAATATACGTAAGTTTCTTTATAAATATAAAAAGATAACTATTCTAATATTATAATAAATATATAATATATCTAGTATACGTACTAATTTAATACTAATTATATAGTTATTTACTTTTTTTAAGAATAAATAGAATAATAGAAGTTCGATAATATAAAGTCGTTTATAGTTAATATAAACTATAAATATATAAAGGGTATAGGTTAGTAAGAAATCATTTAGGGCTAGTATAGCTAGAATAGTAAAAAAAGTATATTATAATACTAAAAATGTTTTTAAAATATTTCTTAACCTTTGTTCTAAAATTATTAATATATTACTTATAAAGCTCTACCTCTTATATAGGTCTATATAAATACTAAAATTATAAATATATATTACTATATATTTTAAGCTATATTTAATATCCTAGAGCAAAAGTATTAAGTTTAGGTCTAATAAAAATACGTTTATAGAACCGGCTTTCTTAGAGTTACCTTAGATTAAGTAAATATAATAATTAAAGGCTTAGGTAAATACCTTATTAAAAAGTTTAACCCTTAATAAACATAGCTTATATAGGTTTAAAACTATATATGCTTATATTACGTATATTTTAAAAAAAGTATTAAAAAACTCCTAAGTAAAAATTATTCTTATAGTATAAACTCTACTTATAATATATTAATATCTCTCTTAAAATGTTAAACGGCGCCTAATTATAATAAGCTATATAATATAATTTATTATAAGTATTATATCTTACTATATATAGCTTATAATAGAAATATTTTAGAAATATTTCGAAAAGGGAAAACGTTTTTAAAATATTTCTAAAATATTTCTTATTAATACCTCGCTTAATTAATAATAACTTATTACTTTATAAAAAACTTTCCGTAGTATACTAACTAAGTAAAGTATAAACGAGAACTATATATTATAACCGGGTTCTATAATAAGATAACTAAGGTTTCTCTAGAAGACTAGTTTTTAATACCCGATAGTATAAACATAATCGAGATTGTTTACTTAGTTTTATATATTTAAACTAACTAATATCTCCCTCTACTTACTATAATTAATAAGTACGTATTAATAATTAGCTATTATAAATATTAACTAACTTTAATAGTACTCGTAACTAAGATTAAAATCTAATATTATAGGATTTTATAACGCGTTATAAGTATATTATAACTTTATATTAAAATATTAGTATTATAGGCCGTTTTTAGTATTTAATATAACGTTAGAGTATATTTAAAATACGCTTTAATAAATACTTATTAACTATTAAATTAAAAAGAAAAGTAAGAGATCGGGCTAAGAGTTTATAAACTAATACTAAAGAACTATCTCGTATTTAATAAAGAACTTATAAGGATTTAGTTACTAATTAATAAAATAGTTCTTAAAGCAAGAACTTTAATAGTTTTAGTTTTAATAATTATAATAATTTTAATAATACTTAGTCTTAACGCAAAATAAGTATTTTATTTTTTAAAGTACCTTTTTTACTAAATAAAAATCGAAACCCCCTAGGTTCCCTAATACCTTATAGTAGTTTATAAAAATAAGCTACTTAATTATAAATATAAATAAACGTAAATTATCTTATATTTAAAAAATAATAAATAAAGGTTAATAAGATCTAAAAAGATAAAAAATAAAAAGAATAGGAGTTTAAGCTTAAATAAGAACATAAAGAGCGCGAGTTTTTAATAAACTAGGCCT